CCCGAGGGCCCCATGAGTTGTCAGTACGTCCCTGAGGTGTAGTTGCATGGGTGTATCAATATGGCATCCAAACCAGTCCAAAAGATCTAAATTTCATTTGCATACAGTGTTGCGTGACTGTGCAATTAGAGACTCAAAGCTGTCTGGCTCTCTGCTCTCACTTCCCATCGCTCTTCCTTCTCAGTGTTGTTGCAGGCCAGCACCTGACTATTCTGTACAGGAACCTTTTACACCCATTAACATCACATGATTTTGAACTAGGAAAAGGTCCACTTTAAGTCTCTTCATAGAGGACCAATGGCATGCAGGGCAAACGGGTGTGCAATCTGATTTCCCACTTCATCCATAGTGCAGTAAGAGCAATGAATGATAAATACAGATTGGTTGCTGTGAGGTACTATGATTTACAGCTTGTTCTTTACTTACTGTTCTGTCCTCTCTACACATTTTCCTGTGTGTGACTCGACATGCAGCTAAACCCTTCTATTCTGCAATAAACCAGACCGAATGTAATCTTGAAGCTTTATTAACATGGGGGTGAAACTATTAAGGAAAACAGATAAAAAGTACATATAAACAATATGTTAAATATATAAAACACAATTAAATGAATGAAAGTCCATGCTCAACAGCGATGCTGCCCGTAAAGGATGTAAGCTCAGTCCATGATGTGCTGCAGAGAATTATGTCTGTTCCAGGGGCAGACTGACCACTTGGAAACTCGGGCACTGCCCGAGGGCCCGGGGTCAGTAGGGGGCCCCATAAGATGCCCATGGTACCTTTTTCATAGGCTTTTTTGAGTTTGGTAAAGGACAGAGGGGCCCCATGATCCCCTATTGCCCGGGGGCCCCATGAGTTGTCAGTCTGCCCCTGACACAAAGTTCTGTGTTTTTGTAAACACAGAACTCTGTATGTGATTGGACATAACCGATCAGCTGACTTCATTCAAAATCATTGGCTGAAATCAGCTGCCAAACTTATGCTGTGTCCAATCACAGCACGGGTTGGCAGGAGGGCGCACGGGCGAGCACCCCAAACCTGGAAGAACGTGATCATGTCTGCACTTGCTGTCCGCTTACTTACTGTCAGGGGCATCCGTAGTGTTGGTGTCATCCGGTGCGGTAACACTTGGTGTCACCCCTGAGACGATCCCCGCAGGATGGATCGGATCTGTGGATTGAGCATAATGGATCGGAGTCTGATCCATTATGCTCCCTAATTCGCAGATCCGATCCATCCTGTGGGGATCGTCAGCTTGCAACCTATACGGGATTAACTGATTTCTCCACGAGCTCCACGAAAAGGAAAGTTTTAAAGCAAGATGGATCGGATCTGTGGATTGGGGAGCATAATCCTTTCCTTCAGTTTCTAAAATGGAGTCTGCGCTCCCAGGTGGATCTTTCTTAGGATGAAGGAACTCTATTAGGCTAAACAGTCTCTAGTTGCTGTAAAACTGTAAGTGGTCTGCTTCCAGCAGGGAAATTTATTATGCCTTCCCTGCCTGCAATATTGAATTTGTCCACTAGATGCAGCCCAGAATAAATGTACAGTCTTAGACCTTGTTCACATGGGGTATTTGAATCTGTGCCCCGTGCAGGGCTGTGTTTTATTGACATGGGGATGCATGGGTATTAACCACTTCTGAACTGCCCTATAGTAAAAATACCGCTACGGGGCGTCACGGGTGCTCAAAATCATGTATATATAGATTTTACAGTTCTTGGTAGGGGGCACGCGACTTAACCTAAGCCGCCATTTGCGACCTCAGCTGTCAATCACCGGGTCCCAGCTGGTGATTCTTCACTGGCACTCGGTAATCGCCGAGTATTACTGACGGGGGAGAGACCTGTGTATAAACAACACAGATCTCTCCCCTTTCAGCTCCTGCACACTGCTCAGGATGCCTGCCAAAGCAGAGCCATACAAAGCAGTGTGCTTACAGTGTAAAGCACCCACAGCCAACATAGTAAAACAGCCAACAGTTAACCCTTTGATTGCCCACATGTTAACCCCTTCCTGCCCAGTGCCATCAGTACAGTGTCAGTGTTTTTTATTAGCACTGATCACTGTATTGGTGTTACTGGGGATGTCAGTTATACCAAATCAGTTCCCCCCACTGTCAGAATGCCCACCACAGTCCTGCTATAAGTCACTGATCGCCGCCATTACTACTAAAAAGAAAAAATCCAGTATATATACTGCCATTTTTTAAATACTATAACTTTCACATAAACCATTAATTTACACATATTGGGATTATTTTAGCAAAGACATGTAGCAGAATACATTTTGGCCTAAATTTATGATGAAATTTGATTTTTAAAATTTTTTTACTGGACATGTTTAATAGCAAAATGTCAAAAATATTGTTTTTTTTTCTGAAAATAGTCGGTCTTTTTTTGTTTATAGCACAAAAAATTAAAAACACACAGGTGATCAAATACCACCAAAATAAAGCTCTATTTGTGGGAAAAAAAAGGACATAAATTTCATTTGGGTGCAGCATTGCATGACCGCGTAATTGTCAGTTAAAATAACACAGCGCAGTACTGTGAAAAATGGCCTGGTCAGGAAGGGGGGTAAATCCTCTAGAGAACAAGTGGGTAAGCAACACCTGTGCATCCTGTGTCGATAAAACATGGCCCTACCAGGTGCGGACTGACCATTTGGAAACTCGGGCATTGCCAGAGAGCCCGGGGTCAGTAGGGGGCCCCATGAGATGCCCCTGGTACCTTTTTCATAGGCTTTTTTGAGTTTGGGCAAGGACACAGGGGCCCCATGATCCCCTATTGCTCGGGGGCCCCATGAGTTGTCAGTCCGCCCCTGGGCCCTACACAGGGCATAGATTAAAGCTCCCAATGTGAAAAGGATCTTAGATTGATGTTTTTTAGCACTGTATACTCATTTTGCACAGATGTTTCTAGTTTGTAAAACACCAGTAGCTGGAGCTTTCTGTCTAAACAATATTCTTAACAAGTCCCACGTGGTCATCTTGGATAATGGAGAATCATATTCTTAAGTGAAGTGAGTAAAGAAAGGTTTGCATTATTTATGTAAATAGTAACATCTTCTGATTATGCCCTGTATAAATATTATTTTCTTTTTTTATGTGATCTTTCAGCTTGCATCCTGAGGCTTGCTATTTTCGAACTAGAGCACGGTTTTGTTTTTTATTGTAATTACTGCAATAAAATATTTCAGTTCATGATGCATTAATAATTTTGTTTACAACATAAAAACTGCAAATGTTGTTTGAAAAAGGTTAATCACGTTAATCTGTTATCCAGCATGGCTACAGAGAGAGAATATCCATACCTCCTGATTTTGTGTCTTAATGGACTGGGTTAGAGTTAAAAAAAATTTAACCTGAGTTACCCTATGGGCAAATTATAATTGTTATGTGGATCAGGGACCAGGGTAAAGCAGAATATTTATTTTGTTTTAGAGCTTTATAATTAGATGGGTTTTTATTTATCTTTATAAAATATTTGTTTTACAGGATACTTTAGTAAAACACAATTCAAAAATGGCACTGCACACCAAAACACTGCTTTAGATGCTGTTTATTTCCGTGATTCAAATGCCAAAAACTATTACTAAGTTGAATTCGATCAAACCCAAGTTTCAGGCAACCCCACTCTTCCACAGTTTTAAAGGTGATGCAATGTTACAGCTTGTGAAAAGAAAAAAAAAAAAAAAACACGCCAAAAAAGGTTTAAAAAGTTGCATTAGAAACTACATATTAAACGCATTAATCAGTAATAGAAGGCAATGGTAAATAATCAAGTCAATCAAACTTTTTTTCCTGTTTGTATCTTTTATATTTGTAAAACGAATAAAGATTTATTAAAAAAAATCAAATCAAACAGTACATCTCAAATTGTTTTTTAAAATGGAACAGCAGAAAGTGCCAGACTAAGTGCAGTAATATGAACATATCTCCATGATTTAAGTGTGCTTTATACTACTGCACTTAGTCTGGCGCTCTCTGCGCTTCCACTTTATTTTCTCAGAGGTCACATCACTCTTATAAGGAGCAGCCATTGGTGTTGTGTGGAGCGAGATACACAATTTATGGACTCATTTACAAGGACCTTCTGGGGTTAACAAGGAATCTATAGATTCATTTATAGCTTGTTCAACATGTCAAAGAGGGTTTAAAAAGTAGTTTAGAAACTACCATTGCCTTCTATTACTGATTAATGTCTTTAATATGTAAACAATCAATCCAATCTTTATATTTATAAAATGAATAAAGATTTATTTAAAAAAAAAATCAAACAGTACATTTCAAATTGTTTTTAAAATGGAACAGCAGAAAGTGCCAGGCTAAGTGCAGTAATATGAACATATCTCCATGATTTAAGTGTGCTTATACTACTGCACTTAGCCAGGCGCTCTCTGCGTTTCCACTTTAATTTCTCAGAGGTCACATCACTCTTATAAGGAGCAGCCATTGGTGTTGTGTGGAGCAAGATACACAATTTATGGACTCATTTACAAGGACCTTCTGGGGTTACCAAGGAATCTATAGATTCATTTATAGCTTGTTCAACATGTCAAAAAGGGTTTAAAAAGTAGCTTAGACACTACCATTGCCTTCTATTACTGATTAATGTCTTTAATATGTAAACAATCAATCCAATCTTTATATTTGTAAAACGAATAAAGATTTATTTAAAAACAAATCAAATCAAACAGTACATCTCAAATTGTTTTTAAAATGGAACAGCAGAAAGTGCCAGACTAAGTGCAGTAGTATGAGCATATCCCCATGATTTAAAACACTGCTCTCCATGGGTCTGCCAGGTGGATGGACAGGATGCTGCTGTGGCACAGCCATATGCTTTGTTCTTACAGCTAAAATTGAGTTGCCAATTGTCTTTTAATAAAAACTGTGCTTATCCTACTGCACTTAGTCTGGTGCTCTCTGCTTTTCCACTTTATTTTTCTCAGAGGTCACATCACTCTTATGAGGAGCAGCCACTGGTGTTGAGCAGTATACACAATTTATGAACCAGGGGCGGACTGACAACTCATGTGGGCCCCCGGGCAATACGGGATCATGGGGCCCCTGTGTCCTTGCCCAAACTCAAAAAAAACCTATGAAAAAGGTACCAGGGGCATCTCATGGGGCCCCCTACTGACCCCGGGCCCTCGGGCAGTGCCCGAGTTTCCAAAATGGTCAGTCCGCCCCTGTTATGAACTCATTTACATGGACCTTCTGGGGTTAACAAGGAATCTATAGATTCATTTATAGCTTGTTCTTTTTCTCTGCCTAACCCTTTTTCCTTGTTCACTAGTTGATGAGTGGGAAGCTCCTGCCTTGCACCATTTGCTTGTTTCTGGTTCAAATTGTTTTTAACTAGTTTAGGGACCCCAAAAGCAAAGTAACAACATAAACATAATTTCTCACCCGCAATAACAAAAATATATATACGAAAGTTTTTGTTTAATCCATTTGGGTTTAAAGTAGAATGCCAGGCTAAATGGCTGGCAAAGCCTGGGTTGTGACATCACCCATAGGCTTCTATGGTCTATCCATTGTTTGTGTTTCCTCCTCTCCCCGGCAGCCACCTCTAATTGACATAGGGGAGCTTATTCATGTGACCGGACCAAAGTGGGCTCAACATATGGAAGTATATGCAACTTTCCTCCACAGGTTAGTCATCATAGGTGTTGGGGGGGCATTTTTAAGACTACTTAGGTTTAGGCTGAAAAAATTTACTTCATCTATCCACTTTTTTTCTTTTTCAACAAGTAAACAAATATTTATACAATAATTATACATATCAACATTACTCAATATACAGGAAATATATAGTACATGGCAGATTTTGCTTTGTTTTAACCTATATGACAAGGTTAGGTGCAAATAATGGCTAGCATGGTAGTTAAGATGTAAACAGTTATCAGTCCTGTGTTGCTTCACCAGCATCCACCTTTACCTTTCCAGAAAAAATATGGACCACATTTAAAGCCACTTTGTAAAATGTGATACCATAATATTTCTTTACTTTACATCTATCAGTTTTGTGGAGCTCCAGGAGTGAAGCTATCACTACAATCCTGGGGCTCTGACAGGGGAGATGTTATGTTCTCACACACACCATTTCTGCCAGCCCCTCTCCTTGCTGTTCATTCACAGAAGCCTTTGTATTCTGTGAATGAGTTTGCTTAATACAAAACACTCTGTGATTGGGCAGGAGGAGGGGAGAGGCAGGAGCAGCAGCTGCATACACCTCTGCAGCTTCAGGAGCTGAGACCAAATGGTCCAGCATTGCTGCGCCGGAAGCTTAAAAAAAAAAAATGTAAACTATAAATTAGAGAGGTAAGTCCATGAGGTGGCGTGCACCTCATTAGATTCAACCCCTACTAATCCAGCACATTCTACAAAGTAGCTGAATTCCTGGAGTTCAGCCTTAAGTGGAAATAAATGGCTGTATCAGTCTTTTATTTTAAACAGTTTCTAAACCAATTTACATACACATACACAAGTCAAATGAGATAGCAGATCTGCTGCAAGTCCTTCAAGACACTATAAGAAAAAAACACAATGGGATTGATTTACTAAAACTGGAGAGTGCAATATCTGGTGTAGCTGAGCATGTTAGCCAATCAGCTTCTAACTTCAGTTTGTTCAATTAAGCTTTGACAAAAAAAATTGGAAGCCGATTGGTTTCTCTACAGAGCTGTACCAGATTATTGTTATAATACAGGATTTATATAATGCCAACAGTTAGAGCTTTACAACATAAGAACAGACAGTACAATTACAATACAATTTAATACAGTAGGATTTAGAGGGTCTTGCTCATTAGAGCTTACACTCTAAAAAGGAGGGTCAAGTAATACAAAAGGTAATAACTGTGGGGGATGAGCTGATGGAGAAAATAAAATTACAGTTGTTAGGTGAGGACAGGGTAGGCGTCTCTGAGTTTTCATGGATCATCTAAAAGTGGACAGAGTAGGAGATAGTTGGACAGATTGGGGTGGGGAGTTCCAGAGGATGGGAGAGGCTCGGGAGAGGTCCTGGAGGCAAGCATGGGAGGAACTGACAAGGGAGCTAGAGAGCAGGAGGTCTTGGGTAGAACAAAGAAAATGATTAGGTTGGTATTTTGAGACTACTGTAGGTTAGGCAGTGTAGGTGGGGGCAGAGTTGTGGATGGTATTGTAAGATGTTGGTATTTTGAATTTATTTGTTGATGAATGGAAGCCGGCAGATGGATAGGTGGTGAGAGGTAGCAGACACTGAACGGTTGATAAGGTGAATGAGTCTGACAGCAGCATTTATGATGGTCTGAAAGGGGGATAGCCTATGTAAAGGTAAGCCAATGAGGATTTTGAACTCTCCAGTTTTAGTAAATTAACCCCATTACCTGTATCTACGGAACCAACTACATTTATTAGGCACCCACAGGGGCAGACTGACTATTCAAGCTCTCTCAGGCACTGCCTGAGGGCCCAGGGTCAGTAGGGGGCCCCATGAGATGCCCCTGGTACCTTTCATTGTTTTTTTCATAGGATGTTTTAAGTTTGGGCAAGGACACAGGGACCTCATGATCCCCTATTGCCCGGGGGCCCCATGAGTTGTCAGTCCACCCCTGGGCACCCAGCTACATCACACTGCCTTAGGAACAATATCAAAATAAACACAGATACCTCCTGATCCCTAAAATACCTGGTCACTACAAGCTCACTACACTGAAAGGGGATTTCATGCCAAAGAATGGTCCCCAACCATTATGAATCACCACCAACTTGACCACCTTCAGAAACCTCCAAATCAGTTATCTGCTGCCATGACTTCCTAACAAGTCAATCCAACTCCTCTGAACAGACCACCCTTTGAGACCTTCGGCTCTCTCAGCTACCTGGTTCCCTTCTCACCCAGTCATGAAAGCTTTGTGCTTAGTTTGCTCTTATCTTTGGTTCTGGGCTGGCCCATCATTTTCCTAAAACCATAAAAATACAACACACATAGCTGCACTCTGTGGTTTGGACAATTAAAAGGCTAATGATCACACACTGTTATACCTGAGATCCAGAGGTTTATTAAAATATCAATAACCGTATGGATCATAGTTATGACAGAGTGCACTAATCCACATGTTACTTTTCCATGTTCCGCAGTAAGAGTTGGACTGGCACCTGTGTTTTTGGGGTTAGAAAGAAGTGGGCTGACCTGGAGCAGTGTATAGTGTTTTGCACTCTATGTTTCTGGTGCTGCTGATAGAAAGCACAACACTCGAAAAATCATCTGGTGATATGGGGAAAGACTGAAATGTCATTGGAGAACAGCATCAAGTAAATGTAATTAAAGTGAAAACAAGAACAGATAAGAGACAGAAGAGCTGTGCAGGTGAGATGGCAAGAGATAGAAATGAGAGAACCTGGAGATGGACACAAAGGATGTAACAAAAGACAACATTGAAGGGGAAGCTGTTAAAATAGTACAGGAGGAAAAATTGGATGATATATGTATCATTTCCTTAGCAAAGACAGGCTTGTTTTATGGCTGAGTCTGTTTACCTCGATTTATTCTGGCTCCGTCCCTCTGTTCTCTACGTCTATGCCAGCAATGTTGTTTTGACAAAATTGATTTTATCTTGAATGTTTCTCCACTCAATAAATCAACATTGTCAATTTTCCTTTTAGTGGAGGCAGAATAGCTGGCTTGATAAACACATTTTCTCTGTAAATTGAAACATTAAAAAAAAAAATCTAATTTTTTATTAAATGAACACATAATCTCAGATTGTTAAATTGTATTTACCTATATTTACACTGTATTTCCTATTAAAATAACTGCATGCTATTGAGGTCAGGCTGCTCCTGAGTCAGACAGCTTTAAAGAAACTCATTTATAATTCCCTATACGTGAACTTTTACCAGATCTCTGCTCTTTTACATTGTAGTAACCCATATGCCCCTTCTAGAGAGGTTTGTCCCTTTATTTGTCCTGGGAACCAATGTCACTGAGACAGAAAGTGATGAGAAATCCAGTATTTTGGTGTTGTCACCAGAGCAAGGGCTCATAAATGCTCCTAAGGCAACTATCTGTAGTGCTACTCTTGTAGGAGCTGTACAGGGGCGGACTGACCATTTGAACACTCGGGCAGTGCCCGAGGGCCCAGGGTCAGTAGGGGGCCCCATGAGATGCCCCAGGTATCTTTAATTGGCTTTTTAATAGGCTTTTTTGGGTGTTGGTGAGGACACAGGGGCCCCATGATCCCCTATGGCCGGGGGCCCCATGAGTTGTCAGTCCGCCCCTGGAGCTGTAGGAATATTGTCCAGGCCCCACAGCCAGGCCCATGGGCTCATTCACATGTTTCTCTAATATGCAGTGTAGGGGTGTTGTCTTTTGTTTTTATTTTTGGAGACCTGGTATAGGGATGAGGGAGATAAGTGGGATACTTCAAAAACCATCTGTAGCACTACTCCAGTAGGAGCCACAGGAATACTGTCCAGGTTCTCCCCAGTTACTTTTCCTCATTCACATGTTTCTCCAATCATCAGTCTAGGGGTGTGGTTCTGTTGTTTTTATTTTTTGGAGAACTGGGATAGGGATGAGGGAAGATCAGTGGGATACTCCAAAAATAGCAACTACTGTATGTACCCTTGAGGACTTTATCTAATCTTCAGGTCAAGCTATGTCAGAGTCTGCTTTAATCAAACAGTGGACTTCAGCTTTGAGGCAGTAGTAAAAGTAGTAGATGTAATAGTAGCAGTAACTTCTTTAGCGCCTCAGAGCAGTGGTCCTTTAAAAGTAGGCCAGGTGGACAAAGCTCTTCAGAACACCTTTGCTAGACCCCCCTGCTGACTTCTTAGCACCAGAGGGGGTTAAACAGCACACGGTCTCTAAGATCCTTTAGGGATGTCTGTACTCACAAGGCCCAAAAGCAGCTGGATGCCTTCCTCCATGATACAAGAGCAGACTTTTAGTAAACAGACCCTCAGTCAGCATAGCAGACCTCAGGCCTCAGCATTCAGGCTCTCAGGTTGCCCACCACACCGCACTGCCCTCTCCCAGGCTGGATCAGTCCTGAAAAGGAAAGAACCCAGAGCCTGTGAATATATATAGTTACCCAGCATGCCTTAGAGCCCCTCTCTCTGGGATAGGCTGAGGCTGTAGCAATATTCATGCTGCCATATGCATACCTCCACACCTATCATCCAGAAACTTCTTCAGTTTCATGGATACAG